TCTAACGCTTCAATAGTATATTTATTCTTGGGTTTTGATAATAATAAAAAGATAATGACAGATATAGACAGAAATTTATTGTTTAATTAAAATCCTTGGAACATGACATTACCCAATATGAAAATCAAAGTTGAAAATTTTTTCCAATAACTGCTGTGATCAGCATGGCGGAGCATTCGGATCGTGTAAACAAAATAGCCGATTAGTTACACCGCCTACTTTTTATATATAGTATTAGTATGATTTTTTAAAAAAGATAATCAACGAACAATAAACAAATAATTTTAAATCAATATAATGGATTTTTTGAAAGTTTATGTTATCTATCACTTAAAATACTTTTGTAATGTGAAAAGCTTTGTTCCACATCCACTCCACACACCAAAAACTATATATACTCCTAGAAAGATTTGTTGTTTATCAGTCTAATATTTATTAAATCTTTGAAATTTCACTATTTCCACAATAAATACTCCCTTTGTGATCAATTCATCTTCTGGATTTATAAATTCCTTGACATATGAATATAATTGGGGCTCCAAGCAGATCAAAACAGATCAGAAATCCGATCTGATCTGATCTGGTTTTGATCTGATCTGTTCGGAGCCTTAGCAAGATGCATTGTTTATAATTTTCAAATAAGTATGGATTATTACACTCAGAACCAAATAAGTTGCTTTATCAAGAAATAGCCAATGCAAATTATACCCAGAAATTCCAAGAGATCATAATATATTATAAAGGAAAATTTATTTACTCCAATGTTGCTTTTAAAATGCTTGATTTATTAATAAAATTAATTCTTTTTTTTGTTTGTGCTTTGTTGATACCTAAAAAGGCAAATAATTGTCATGCACGTGATCAAAATGTCTTACCTGGGGGTGGGGGAGTAAGTGCTACTATTAAAATGATATTAGCTAATATATGTTAGTGCCCTTAGAAAAAACTGTTCCATTGCCATTAGATTCTATTTCTCTTGAGAAAACTTGAAAATTTGCTTGAAGGTCTTAGAAATTTATGGATGCTTATATAAATATAGAGAGCTTGTTATTCATCTTTGGGATCTTTTTCCTCTTTAGGTATTGTGGGTGCCTCCCCACAGAAATCCTCTTACTATAATTCCTCTCCCTATTCTGTTCTTAAGGACTAAGCAGTAACCCCTTCACTAAGGGGATTATTGGCCTGGATATTAATTCTTTCCTGATAGTGGTAGAGACAATGGATTAATAGGCCTATCAGCTTATATACAGTAAAAGATCAATCATATGCATATCTCATTATTAGAACATATAAGAATTTCCTAGCAAAAAGAACCTTCAACCTCATCTGATCAAATTTGTGTTTTTCACATTTATTAAAAAAATTTTTTTGTTCAACATATACAAAAGTATCACGTAAACTCATTTGCAACATATATGAATTGATCGACGAGGGGGTTCCAATTTTTCCAGAATCGATTTCCATATTTAGCATATTCCCTGACTGTTGTGATTATTCAATTTTTCGTGTGACAATTAAAAAATATAATTAATTTTCCATCAAACATTATTAATAAAAAAATGTCTACCTCTTCAAGCAATGACTCAAATACGCAAAAAAAACCCACTGTAATTTTATGTATTGGTATGGCAGGCTCCGGTAAAACAACTTTTATGCAGGTATTTATTCCTTTTTTTTATTTCTCTCTTTTCGTTCATATATTTTATTCATTCTATTTTTAACACTTGCCTTTTTTTAATTGAATTATTGTTGCATTATTTATTATTAAAGCGATTAAATGCACATCTTCATGGTATTAAAAAACCACCTTACATAATAAATCTTGATCCTGCAGTTACTCAACTCCCATTCACTGCGAATATTGATATTCGAGATACAGTAAATTATAAAGAAGTTATGAAACAGTAAACAATCGATCACTTTATTTCATTTTTTAAATTTTATTTTTATTTTTGATTGATTAAATTATAATAACTTGGGCTTTTTTAAAACAGATATAGTTTAGGTCCAAATGGTGGTATAGTAACAAGTTTGAACTTGTTTACCACAAAATTTGATCAAGTTTTAGAATTTGTATCAAACCGTTCTACTTCAATAGAGTAATTAATTAATAATAATAATAATAGAATACCCACCAGATTATATTAAATTATCCCATTAATACTAAAAATAAAATGAAAAATATGTATTCAGACATATAATTATAGATACGCCTGGACAAATTGAAATATTCACATGGTCAGCTTCTGGCACAATTATAACTGAAGCATTAGCTGCATCTTATCCATGTGTGGTAGCTTATGTCATTGATACACCTAGAACAGCAAGCCCATCAACATTTATGAGTAATATGTTATATGCATGCAGGTAACAAATTTAAATAAATATTGGTATTATTATTATTATTGAAAATTCCTAATTTATTGAAATTTATAATTTGTAGTATTTTATATAAAACAAAACTCCCATTTATACTGGTATTTAATAAAACAGATGTAGTTTCACATCAATTTGCTGTTGATTGGATGACTGATTTTGAATCTTTTCAAGAAGCACTTCAAAAAGATACTAGTTATATGACTTCACTTATGAATTCAATGTGTTTGGTTTTAGAAGAATTTTATAAACATTTACGAGTAATTGATTATTTTCTGTCTGAGAGGGGGGAGAGGTTGGGAAGGATTTTGTGATAATTATAAATCAACAGATTATATATATTAATTAACTTTTATAAATTAGTTAGTTGGTGTATCAGCAATGTCAGGTTTAGGAATGGATGAATTTTTTGAAGCTGTAGGTGAAGCTGTTAAAGAATATGAAAAGTAGGTTTGATGATGAATATAATGAATTTAATATACATATGGATTGATAGAATGATTGGATCTTTTTCTTGCTAATTAATAAATTTTAAAAACTTTTATAGAGACTATAAACCAGAATTGGAAAGATTAATTAAAGAAAAGGTACAAATAACATTAATCAAAGCCAACAACAATATTTGTACCATGTTTAGGCTATTTACTCATCAATTCACATGAATATATATAAGGCAGAACGAAAAGAAGCAGAGAAACAAGCACAGTTATCAAGATTAATGAAAGATATGGACGTAGCAGATAAATCACCTAAAATGATAGGTAGATGATCCATTTTTCTTAGTTTGACTTTTTAGATACTTTTTTTTTTTTTTTTTTGAAAAAAAATTCTTGGATTTTTTCTTTAATTAGATCCAATGGAAGATAATTTATATGATGATGATGATGACGATGATAAAATAGATTATGATGATGATGATTATAACAAACGTGGTTTTGTAAAAGAAGGTAAACCATTTTATTTCTTAAACATTAAAATAACAATAATATTTACATGATTTTTTTTAGATCCTGATTACAAAGCAATGAAATCATATCAAGGTAAACTTGAAGAAGAAACTTTTGCCCATTGGATACAACAAACCCGTCAAGGAGGTAGTGATGGTGGAAGTGGAATAATTTGATTGAAAAAAATTTTTTTTTAATATAAAGGGCGAAGATAGTTGCAATTGGGAAAAATACATTTGTATAAATTTTATTCCAGGTATGTATAAAAATATATAATAAAATTATATTTTATGATTTATTGATATATTAAATAATAATAAATATTACTTATTCAAAAAAATAAAAGTATACAGATTTATATTTATTAATATATACAATAATTATTATAATTTTACAATAAATACCAAAAATACAAAAATACCAATATTTTTTTTAAAATATGTTTCTTCTCCTTAGTTAAAACCCTTCTTTTTACAAATAATATTTTTCCATGACTGTTTTCATAATTTGATCTTTAGGTGCTTTTCTACCAGTCCATCTTTCAAATTGATATAAACCTTGTTCAATCAAAACTTGTATACCTTCAACGCAATTCCATCCATATTTTTCACCTTTAATTATTAAATTGGTTTTATGTGGTTTATATGCCATCTCAACTATCACGCCTTTACCATTATCATCATGGAATTTAAAAATTTCATCTGGATATTCAAAATTTGTTGTACCTGGTATCGTTGAAATAATGATTTTAGGTGATGGAGAAGGAAGTGATGATGCAGTCAATGAATTTAATTGATGAAGTCCAAAATTTGTTGGAAATTGTTTAATTAGTTCTTTGACTTTTTCGGGAGTTCTATTATATAAATAGATTTTAGTTGCACCTAATTTATGTAATGCATAAATAGCTGCTCTTGAAGTCCCTCCAGCACCAACAACTAGTCCTGATATATTTCTGTTGTTATTGATTGGAGTATCAATATATAACTTAATAGAATTTAAAATTCCTAACCAATCTGTATTATCACCTAGCAATTTTCTTTTATTATTATTATTAATATTATCATGTACAACAATAATTGTATTCACAGCGCCTATCAATTTTGCAGAATCTGTGATTTCATCAAGGTAGGATATAATACTGGTTTTATGAGGTATAGTTACTGAACCTCCTCCAAATTCCTCACTCTCAAAAATAATGGGTTTAACATCTTTAACGTCTTCTGACTCAAATAATTCATAATGATAAGGAAATCCCAAAGTTTCAAATCCTGTATTATGAATTGTTGGTGAGAGTGAATGGGAAATTGGTGCTCCAAAAAGATAAAATTTTTTTTTAGGTAACAAACCAATCAAATTAAGTCCTTGATGAATCTGTTTGATTGATAATTGACCTGGAGCAGCTTTTGATGGCAATAAATCATGTGTTACAGGTGTAAATGTTTGATTCAAGATTCTCGAAAGTTGTCCCTCTGATCCCATATTAATTGCTATAATGTGTTTTTTTTTTGTTGTTGATGATGTTGACGAAACAGACTCTAAAAATGATTGTAAATCAAAGTTATCTTTTATAGATCTTGCTTTACCAATCAATTTAATAATATCACCATGCTCATTAGCTTTTCTATAATATCCACAAATTTCTTCTCCATCCCATTTCATATTTCCAGTTGTGTCATGCCATGATGCTATAATCTTTGTGTTGCCTTTTCTTTTTAACAATTTTGTAATTAGATTATGTGATAATCCAATTTCCAAATCCAAATACTCACATCCCCATCTCAAACCACTCTCCAAAATATCATAAATTTTTAATTCATCACCTGAAAAAAACTTTCCTCCTTGTCTTTGTGTTCTTAATGTAAAAATAATTGGTAATTTTGAATAACCTTTTAATAAAGCTAACTGTTTTGAAATATAATCAATTGAAAATTTATTGCTATTACTACTATCATTATTGTTGTTGGAATTTTCATCAAGTAAATCCACTCGTAATTCTATTGCATCAACTCCATGAATTATTGTGGATATATATTGTAATTTTGGTTGAAGATCTGGATATGTCAATGATACAAAAAAAGTTCTTTTGGTCTTTTCCAAATCAACTTGATTTGTATCTTGTCCAGTAATAAATTTTAAAAATCTTGTAAAATCTACTTTAGCTTTAACTAATTCAGATCGATCAAGTTCCTTGTCAGCAGCACAATTATCATCATTGTATTTAAGTGAATGAAATTCATAGTTTGAACATTCTTTATACCAATTTTTTCTTCTTTTCCAAACTTCAATAATTTCCTCCCCATATTGTGGTCTAGCCTCATCTTTATTTAAATATTTTATAACTTCTTGGATATCTCTAAAAATATGAACCACTATTCCTTTATTATTATTATCATTGTTAGTATATTTTTTTAAAAGATCTCTCGAAGAAGCATTCTCAACTATACCACCACCACATGATATGACATATCCAGTAGCATAATCTTTTAATAGTGCCTTGAATATTTCTTGTTCTTTATCACGAAAAACATCCCATCCTTCCTTTTCAACCAATTCAGAAATTGTTAAACCCAATTTTGATTCAAAATATTGATCAACATCTAAAAATTTATAATTTAGCATTTTTGCTGCAAATTGACCCATCGTTGTTTTACCTACCCCTCTCATTCCAATTAATATAATAGATTTATTTTTTTCATTAGCGGTGGTAGTAGCAGTAGTAGTTTTATTATCATCTTGTTTTGGTCCAAGATCAACACCAACAAGTTTTACTCCTAATTTAGATTCTAAATCATCCCACCAATTAGGCCAAGTTTTTTCAACACATTTCTTTTCACGAATAAGTGTTCCATTAGGTACAACACATCCTAAAACACTGAAACTCATTGCCACACGATGGTCATCGTAACATTTGACACCTTCAACAGGACCTTTAAGTGATTCTATTTTGGCACCATGAATTTGTATACCATCAGACAACTCAGATGCATCAACACCAAATTTTCTCAACTCGTGAACCATTGCAGCAATCCTATCACATTCCTTAACTCTTTGATTAGCAATTCCAATGATTCTTGTAATATTTTTATTTTCATGATTATTATTTGAATTACAAGCAACTGAAGCTACAATAGATGCAGTAAGAAATGCGTCAGTCATTGTTTCCATATCAATAGTGGGTAATGGTTTAAGTGATCCAATAGGAGGTCCTTGTACTGTAGTGCTTGTTTCAGTCTGTGTGACTTCACAACCCATTTGTCCAAGTACCTTAACAGCAAATGCTGCATCACCTTGGAGAGATGATGATCCAATATTTGGTAGATTACATTTGGTACCAGTGACTGCAGCTATAGCTAAAGGATAAGTGGCAGAACTTGCGTCAGACTCAATGATATATTCAGCTGGATTTTTATAACTAGCTTTTGGAATCTTGTACATGTCACAATCTAGACGTTCAACCTTGACTCCAAATGATTCCATCATTGAAATAGTCATATCTATATAAGGTTGTGAAATCACTTGGCCACCAGTAAGTCTCAATGTCACTGGTTCACTGGCATATGGTGCACTCATAAGAATAGATGAAACATATTGAGATGAGATTGATGCTGCCAAATCTATACCACCACCACACAATTTTTTTTTCAAAGGCATGATTGCTATTGGAAGACATCCTTCACTCTCAAGATAATCAATCTGTGAACCATTGTTTCTAAGAGCATCAACAAGAGGTCCAATAGGTCTTTGTTTCATTCTTGAGTTACCAGTTAGAATTGTTTTTTGTTTCTTTTCAGTTACAGACTGATCAGATGCCAATGTACACACAGTTGTCAAAAATCTAGATGCTGTGCCAGCATTTCCAAGATAAATTTCATCATCAGGAACAGTAAGTTTACCACCACCACCTATAACAACCAAGGTATTGCCATCATCCTCCCATTCAAATTTTGCACCACCTAAAGCTCGAAGTCCACTTAACATTACTTGAGTATCATCTGAGTATAGGATACCTCTAAGCCTACAAGTACCTTCACCAAGTGCAGCTAAGATTAAAGCACGATTAGAAATAGATTTTGAACCTGGTGTTGTTATGTGGATTGATGTTGGTGAATTTGCGCAATTATTAGTTGAAAACTTAGGAAAAACTCTGATGGCAGGTGAAAGAATTTTGTGAATAATTGAATCTGAAACTACTGTGGCCTTCTTTTCTAAAGTTTTGCCAATAGCAGTAAGAATAACCAAACGTTTCTTATCACCTTGATTTTTTTTATCAATTTTCATAATTTCCAATAATCTATCCACATCACAATACTTATTTCCAACTAGTTGTTTAACTTTTTTGTCATCTAAAGAAACTGGTAATCCATAATTTTGTAAACATATTGATAATCTACCAACAGCTACTTGATTAAGATATCCAAGGTTTCTGGAAATCTCAGCCTCTTTAATCATACCGATTGAAACACATTCACCATGTAATAAATCAGGAGCTAAAATTGTTTCAATTGCATGCCCTATTGTATGTCCAAAATTCAATAAACCACGAAGTCCACTTTCCCTTTCATCATGAGTAACTACATGAGCCTTTACCTTTATTGAAGCTAAAATTACTGATAAAAGAAGTGATTGAGAAGGAGTTCTTGTTTCAAGTGTATTTCCTATTATAAACATAAATAAGTTAATGATAATTTTTTAATCAAACAAAAAAAACAACAAATAATTGTGGGTTACTAACCTTGAAATGGAACATCTTTGGGTGGATTGAGTACAGCTTCATGAATACTTTTAACACCATTTTCCAATTTTTCAAATTCATTATTGTTCCAAATAGCTGCGTGTTTAATAACTTCAGCCATCCCATTTATGAATTCTCTTTCAGGCAAAGTAGTCAAGAAATTCAAATCAACAAAAATCTTTTTAGGTTGCCAGAAAGCACCAATAAGATTTTTACCATGAGGAGTATCTATGGCAGTTTTGCCACCAATTGAGGAATCTACCATTGCCAATAAAGTTGTAGGTACTTGAACAAATGGAACGCCACGCATAAAAGTTGCAGCAACATACCCAACCAAATCACCAACCACACCACCACCTAAAGCAATAATACATGCGTCACGCGTACATGCTTTTGATAATAAATAATCTTCAATTTCGCCTTTTGTCTTTCGTGATTTTGATTGTTCGCCTGGTGGAATTACATACGTTAAAATTCTAGGTGAGGAGGGGGAGGAAGAAAATAATTTGTTTACAATGTTCTCAAAATTAGTGATTAAGTCTGAGAGATAAATTGATGCAATATTTTTATCCGTAATAATGACATAAGTTGAAGATGGTATAGATTTGATGATATCTTGAAATATTAATTCTGTCAAATGAAAACCTATAATTATTGATTCTTCATTTAGAATTGATACTTTTACAATATCAGATTCGTGTTTTGAAATCATTTTTTTTATTTATTTATTTCTTTAATAGATAAAGTTGATATTATTATCAGCATCTGTGTAACAAGTTTTTAGAGTGGCTTTGATTTGATTAATCAACTTCTAACAAACTTCCTCTAAATTAAAAAGAAAATAGGTTTTTACCAAAAGAAAAATACTTGTAATGAATATCAAACTAAATTAATAGGACTGTAACTCATAGTTATGACACGGCTATGTCATAACTCTTGTAACTGTTTATGGTGTCAACCCGAATTAGGTAATTAAAAAATAATCTACAGTGCGAGTCATCTATACTCAAAAGTTAAAATTTTTGAAATATTATGTGATCCACACATTGAATTTTAAAAAACCCGCCACCATTCAATTTAGCTTTAAAAAGTAGTCTATTTAATCTAAAAAAAATTTGTCTTTTCATAGATTTTTTAAATTTGAAAGTTATGCTCAAAAATGCAACAATAATTTTCGTGTTAAATATTTTGAATCTCTCGACCAAATTTGGTAATGATTTTCTTTTAATGTAATATGTTCGTTAAACTTTTTTGTTATAAAGAACTTTTATTTATTAATAAAAAAGTAAATAAATAAATCAAATAAATCAACAGAAAATATTTTATGAAAAAAATTTGTTACACGAAATTTACTTAGCCTCAATTTCTTAAGTGTATAACAAAATTTGGAATTTTCAAAATGTTAAGGCTCAGCCAATTTTCAGTTTAAGAAAAAACCAACTGATAAGTTTTGAAGCTTGAGTCATTAACAATAAAACTTATTGGTTAAATTTTTTAAAATTATATAATTTTTTTTTGTTTTAGTATTTTGAAGTTGACCAATTGTTAGGGTGCTGACATATATTAGCTAATATTTTAGGGGGTGGGGGATAACAGAAAATCTTAGGTCACCCGTAATCTCATAAATAACATGACCATAATGGCTTCAGTGAAAGATCTGCATTTTTATAATGTAAGTGTTTCAGTTTGGGAATGATCTACATGTAAACCAATTGTCATTTGCGCAAAAAAATTGTATTGCACTTTTTGTCTACATGATGATATGACAATTAATTCTCATATTTTTATATAAATAAATGTTATAATTAATCATTCTTATTTGCTATACATTTCCTTAAATATATTTTGTCAAAAAGAGGCCACTTTTGTTGTGGTCGAGAAGAGAGAAATCATCAAGAATCCTTGAGTTTTGTTCTTTGGATTTTCCTTTAGCAGGATGCATTGTTTGTAATTTTCAAATAAGTAAGAGTTATTACACTCAGAACCAAATAGGTTGTTTCATCAAGAAATAGCCAATGCAAATCATACCCAGAAATCCCAAGAGATCATAATATATTTACTCCAATGTTGCTTTTAAAATATTTGATTTATTAATAAAATTAATTCTTTTTTTCGCTTGCACTTTGTTGATGCTTAAAAAGGCAAATGATTGTTATGCACGTGATCAAAATGTCTTACCTGGGGGCGGGGGAGTAAGTGCTACTATTAAAATGATATTAGCTAATATATGTCATCACCCTAATGTAACTACAGATGCAATTAGAATGATTAATATTGTAAGAAAGATAACTGAAGGGCTTGAAGGAGATAATATAATTTTTCATGATGATGTAATTGAAATTTTTCTACAATTGAAAAATAAAAAACTATTTGATAAAAATTGAATTCAATTTCAATTTATGATAAAAATTTAATAGAATAATTGGAAATTCAAACAAATCACTTGATGAATTAATAAATAAATAAAAAATAATAGAGTCACATTGCAAAAATCTGGTGCTGGATTTTGGATAACAAATTCTAAAATAATAGATGTTGCTGAAGAATTAGTCTATTCTTCTTCTTGGGATATTATTTGTAAAAATGGCTGGTTATTTAGATAAAAGTATAATTATATATACACATTTGTTTTTTTTTTAAATAAAGGCTCATAATTTTATTAGTAAAATAATTCACAAAATTATATGAGGTTATAAATATACATGATATGGTAATTAGCTAATTACCGTAAATACGTAATTCGTAATTAACGTAATTAATTACCACTTTCACTCTTTAAAAACGTAATTACGTAATTAATTACGGGTGACGAAATTAATTACGGGCGACGAAATTAATTACGGGCGACGAAACTAATTACGGATGACGAAATCAATTACGGGTGACGAAACTAATTACGGGTGACGAAATCAATTACGGGCGACGAAATTAATTATGAATAACAACGAATTAATTATTGGAAATATCATAATACAAGTCACTCCCGTTATAACAACACTCTCCGTACAAACAAAAAACGTCAGTATGACGAGAATGTCATTATAACGGGAGTTCATATAGAAGTCATATGAGAATCATTATCACGTGATTTAGTGATTTTATTTTTATTATACATACAGTGTGTAACAAAAAATTTTGGAATTTTTTATTCATTCATCCTTAAAAAACCATCATATAAAAACGAATGAAACATATATCAAAATAAAGCTTAAAATCTAAAGTTTTTATTAATGTAAAAAATAATAATTAGTTCTTTCACCATTATTTTCAATTATCATCTCACATCTTCTTCTCATCGAACTAACAAGATTAATTATAATATTATTCGGAATTCTATCCCATTCTTCTATCATATACTGCTCTAATTCTGGGAG